GGCGGCCAACGCCAAGGAGAGAGAGAGGGTGAGGGACCCCAGAACCCTGCTGGACCCCCCAGAATCGCACCCCGGGGGGGCGGGGGCTGTGTCCCGTCGTGGTGGGAGCCCCAGGGCTGCCTGAGCTGGGGGCACCAGCAGTGACCCCCCCAGGGGTGTCAGGGAGGGATGGGGAGGATTTGCATTTGGGGAGGGGGGTGGGTTTGATCCTGAGGGGCCCCAGGTAAATTTTAGGAGGGCCTAGTTTGATCCTACAGGGGCCCTGGCTTAATCCTGGGGGGTCCAGTTAAATTTTAGGAGGGTCCAGTTAAGTCCTGGGTTGGGCAGTTTAATACTGGGGGCTCCGGTTAAATTTTAGGAGGGCTGAGTTTAATTCTGAGGAACCCAGCTTAATCCTGGGGGGGTGTGGGAGGGCTGTTAAATTTTAGGAGGGTCTGGTTTAATCCTCGGGTGCAGTTCAATTTTAGGAGGACTCAGTTTAATCTGAGGAGCCCAGTTTGATCCTGGAGGGGTCAATGTAATCCCAGAAGGCTCAGTTTAATTTGGGGGCACGGGGGGATGGGAGGGGATTAGTTTAATGCTGGGGACCCTGGTTTAATCCTACACAAAATTTAATCCCCCACAAAATTTATTTGCATGGGACCTGGTTTAATTCTAGGAGGGCACAGTTACATTCTGGGGAGACCCCAGTTTAATTCTGGTGAGCCCGAGTAAAACCAGAAGGACCCAGTTTAATCTTGGGGGTGGGAAGCAGTTTAATTCTAAAAGGGCCCCAATTAAATTCTGAAGTCCCAGTTTAATTTTAGGAGGGCCAGGTTTAATTCTGGTGAGCACAGTTTAATCTTGGGGACCCCAGATCAACTCTAGGAGAGACCAGTTTAACCTTGAAGGCAGCAGTGTAATCCCGGAGACCCCAGTTTAAATCTAGTAGAGCCCAGACAAGTCATGGAAGGGGCAAGTTTAATTTTGGGGTCCCAGTTTAATTCTAGGAGGCCCTAGTTTAATCCTGGCATTTAATTCTGGGAGGACCCAGTTTAATCCTGTGGGGAGGCCTAGTTCAATCTTGGGGAACCCAGTTTAATTCTAGAAGGGCCCCAGTTTATTGCTGGGGACCCCAGTTTTATTCTAGAGGGGTCAGGTGTATTTTAGCAAACCCAGTTTAATCCTGTAAAGGCTACAGTTTTAATCTTGAGGAGTCCAGTTTAACTGTAGGAGGGCTCAGTTTAATCCTGAAGGGCCCCAGATAAATCTTGGGGAGCCAAGTTTAATTCTGTGAGAGCCCCACTTTGATTCTGGAGAGTCCAGTTTGATCCTGAGGTTTAATTCTAGTTTAATTCTTGGTTTAATTCTGGAGGGACCCCAATTTAGTTCTGGGGTGTCGAGTTCAACCCTGGTGAACCCAGTCAAATCCCCCGAGGGTCCCGGTTTAATCTTGGGGTTCAGCACTTAACCCCGGGGGGTCCCGGCCTAGCTCGGGGGTCCTGGTGCACCCCAAGGGTGCCCCCTCGGTCTCTCACTGGGTCCCCCTGGGGGTCCCTCTGTCCCCCAGATCCGGAACCTGAACAGCGGCTTCTCCCGGCTCCGGACGTTGGTGCCGCTGGTGCCGCGGGACCGCAAGCCCAGCAAGGCCGACACGCTGCGGGCGGCGGCCCAGTACATCCAGCTGCTGAGGGGACTGCTCAGGGACTGCCAGGTGGGCCCCAAAACTGACCCCAAAACTGACCCCAACCCCCCAGTACATCCAGCTGCTGAGGGGACTGCTCAGGGACTGCCAGGTGGGCCCCAAAACTGACCCCAACCCCCCAGTACATCCAGCTGCTGAGGGGACTGCTCGGGGACTGCCAGGTGGGCCCCAAAACTGACCCCAACCCCCCAGTACATCCAGCTGCTGAGGGGACTGC